ATACTTAATTATTTATTTATCTATTTAAACATAGAGTGAACAGTATATTGTACTGGATACAGAGAATGTGCAAGTGTATATAAATTTTAATGCACATATTTTCACACTCGTGCAATCTACAAGTGACCCAGAACTGTAGTGCCCATCCGAAAACCCTAAGCCAACCTTATCGCGACTAACCCTAGGCCTCAGCTCCAATCATCTGCTTCCGGTGCCAGGAGCTGGATCCGGCTTTGCACAAAGCCCATCCTGACTTCCCCAAAGACAAGGTCCGGTGGGGAGTGGTAACATGTACAATTCATCCATAATAATGCCATAATAATTTGGGGAAACTAGCCCCTGCCTGAAGGATATGAAGCTCTACAAGTGTTGGGTTTCGGGTACGGAGAAGGAGATTGAGACGGAAGAGGTCTCATGGTCGTACGAACGCGAGGGCGAAGCCCCCGACTTCGAACCGGAGCCCGAGAAGCCATCAGACGAGAAGCCCACCCCGCAAGAGGAGTTGAAAAATCGCTACAGGAAGGAGGCCAAAGACGTCAAAGCAAAAACAACAGAACAGCTTGCTAAGAGTGCCCCTTGGCCAAAAACAACTTACCCCGAAATCATCCTGACTCCCGAATTGAAACCTAGCCTGTCTTGCTGGAGGTTCGGGTTTGTTTGTGGTTCGGAACTCGTGTTTCGGGTTTGCACGCAGCTAAACCCTAAACCCTAAACCCTAAACCGTGGCTCTCTTCATTGCTTAGTAGAAAGCTTAAGCTGGTATATGTGACCGAGGCTATGAACAAAGCCTCCCAGCATCTCCTGGAGATCAAGGGCTTTAAGACGAAGCTGGTGGAGAATGGGGTGTGCCTGGATATACATAAAGATCTATTTGACTTGCATGCATGTCCTTAAACCTTAGGTTGATCCTAAACCCCAATGTAAAGTTTTGCACTGAGGGACAAGGGGGTGATGGATGCCCTGCTCATTTCGATGATGCAACACCATGATTGGGTGTCTGAGCACCGCGCCAACCTGGAGGCATCCTAGCTTCCAACACTAGAGGATGTACAATCGATTTCGCAATGCATAATATGTGACAGCTTAGGCAGCCGTGGCTACCGGGATGAAAGGTGAAAAGTTGGAGGAGCTGGTGATGGCCCTCACGCAGGCGAACTCTACGTATGTGACGCAGTCGAAGCACGTCAAGGTGCACCTCTCGAAGCCGAAAACATCGTCCAAGGCCAAGCCCAAGGGGAAGGCTAAAGCATCCTCGTAAGCTGAAGCCTGATCAAGCTGAGGCACAGTGCCACAGCTGCCTTTTCGTTCGATCCGAAACCTCGGATATCTTTATCATGTGCTGGAAGGTTTTGCTTGAGCATAGCTTCGTTTGCTCTTCCAGACTTGCTTTCAATCTCGCAATCAAGATGCTCAGAAGCCGGGGAAGGCATTCACTAGGATCCTGTGCTTGCTGATGAGAAAAATAGAATGCGACCCCGCCAATACCAATTCTCATTCAGATAGAATGCATGTATGGAAGCCTGCCCTCA